AAAAGATGTAGATCATCTATGCCACAACGAATTCGCATGTTGTAGTTCAGTTTATGCTGTGAAACAGTCTCCTCCAGTTTTCTATATTTTCTATTTGACTGCCACAAACAATGCACGTTGTTTCCTTGGTTCTAGGTGATTTAACAGTTTTCTTTGCTATTTTTGTTGGAGTGACTGTATTCATGATGTGAACAACCAATGCATTCAGGGAGTAATTTAGAATAAATTTGCATACTTTATTTTGTGATGTCAGCATCAACTATGAATTATTCATATCAACTGGAAACCTGTAGACTGGGACGCATTCCCATCAAACACCTTCGGCGTTCGAATGTCTCGGAAACACAACTACATTAGGCCCGAGGACTGTCGACAATCTAACTGCTTCTATGCACCTTGATTTATTCATGCATCCTGATTTAGATGCAATTCTCACCTACATGGGGGGGATCACCTGTTTTATTTCTACTGTTCGGCACCCCCTTACTAAAAAAAAACAAAATGCAAAGTAAAAGATTAAAATGCAGGTTTATTACTTCTTTATGTTTTTGGAATGCAAGTAGACAAGACAGGTGTAAATTAGCGCCCCCTATGGCCACTAATCTTTACTTTTTGTTTTTATGCAGTTCTACTGCAGTAAAAAACATTGACATGATTACAGCAAAATTAATCAATTGATTGACAAATAGTAAAAATACATCTTGTGAATATTTTATTAGAAATCAGTAGAAAATATATTAATTCCTCTTAAGCTAATCAGTTAGCAAGATGGCTTGCAACTTTGCAAAAACCTATTAAGTGTTTTGTAAAGTTGCGTGTTGTCTTGCTAACTGTCTGAATAATTCTCAGAATGGCTGTAAATACCCCTCATTAATGATATATTGCAAAACAAAAACAAGTACATATCCCTCTTTCCATGCACTTCAGTCAACCACAGATGACTTGCTTAGTACATTTGCTAGTGGTACAGTCAATGGTTAAACTGTAAAAAAAAAAAAAAACAGCTGTCCCCAAAAGCTGGCAAAAACCAGAAATAAGTTTAGGAAATAATAAGTCAGGTTTGAAAGATTCTGGTATATAAGAGTTGCGTATTAGCGAAAATAACATCCATGTATGGTCACAGATCTTCTAATAGATTCCAGTAGCAAAGTCACCGAGTTGTTCACCACAAACCTTATCAATAGCATCCATAACCCTGCAAGAAATCACGACATAAATAAACTGAGACGAAATCCTTACAATTAAAATTGGTCTATTGTTATGCATTGAATTTAGAGAGGTCATTACATTACCATGGATGTGGAACTTCAGCATTATTAGAATCAAAACCTGTATTTTCTCTATTGAAAGCAAATCTCAAATAGGAGCAAATAAATGCATTGACTGTACAACTGGATCATGAAATCACAAACACACATGTCATTTATGTAGGCGTATGTGCTTCTAAGAGTTTGTCTGCAAATGATGGGTAAGATATGAGTAATCAAAAATGCAAATTGCATTATTTCCACTAAATTTCAGGTAGGTTTTCTTCAGGCGAGTTTGTATACCTAAAGACTTATCATCATTCCATTTTATTTAACTTAAAGCGAGAGGGTCGTCACCTGCGCACGCGCGGGAATTGAGTTCCAAGCTACAATAACAACACACGCTAAAAATGGGTAGATGTTTGTTTGTAAACAATGACACGCTATGGCCATCTGATGCATGTGTAGGTGACGACTCCCCTTGCTTTAAATACAATATTGTAGTTACTGATAGACAGTTTCCAAAAAAAAAATTATTCCTGTACTAACTTGGAGATGAGTTAAAATTAGTCTTTCATATTCATTTCAGAATTATCCTTTCTTGTTGCACTGTGTCTTTCAAAGTGCAAGGTTGAAAGTGCAACAGGTGCCACATTATAGAGCTTACCTGGCAGATGGAATTCTTGCCTCACACATGTTCACAAACACATATAGGTGACGTAAGGGATAATCATTCTGTACAGAAATAGAGAGGTGTCATTAACACTTTAAACTGTTTTATTCATTAAATTCACCGTGAGGCTATTTGCCAATAAAAAGTGCCTGAATTTTGTTATAAAAACAAGGAACATTTTACAATAGAATGCAATTTCCTTAAATTCATATAGATGTCATTTAAATGGAAGTAAATCTTGAATACTGAAATGTTATTGAATAAAACCACACAACTGTAGAAAGGACATAGGACTTTCATTTCAAGTCTTGTGTGTAAATGAATCTTCCTTCATAAACAAGGTCACATCAATGGAACTAGAACACTGCATATCAGTATACACCAATTACTATTTGAATTTTCTTTATTGATTGTCATACCTTATTGAGACTGAAGCAATGATCGGAGAAGTGTCTCACAGCTGCTTTATAGCAGTAGTGGCTAGTTAAAGTTGGTTTCTTGGTATTGATCATCAAATCTGCTTGATCTGAACTATCGGTAGCATGCTTCACGATACTTGCAACTGTATCTGTTACAAATTTTCGCATCTGATAAACAAAATGCAAAAAACATAATTACAAGTCATTTTTTTCATTTTAACCAATAATTTACAGATTTTACACATATGGCAATCATAGTTTTCGTACATTCATAGTCAATTCATCATACATAATTAGCTGGGGACAATATTCCGCAGCCATATAATCGAAAAAAGCCTTTGATTTCTTTGTTTATTTTGATACACATCTAGTACTGTCCATGTATGCTGAAAGTTTGAACTGATTTGACGATGACAGTTTAGCCAACTTGAAATGGCGACCACCCCATTACCTGTAGTAGTTTGTCCATTTCTTTCACAATCTCTATTCTCTTCTCTACATCTTTCGCAGCCATCAATCGATGTTCAAGAATCGCCATGGGAACATCAGGAGCTGCCACTGCATTCAACTATATAATAATGATAATAATAATTTATTATTTAATTCTTTGTTGTTATGCTTCATTGTTTGACATGTATGAGTACCATACCACTCAAATTGATGATATCATACATAGTGCCACCAAGTGGCCAACTTAAACAAATCTTTTGTTTACCCAACATAAGCAACTACTAAACATAATTCATCAAGACTAACAGCATAAAGCATCACATCTTTCAATATTTCATTTTTTTTATCTCAACACAATATTTTTAAATGAATGATATGTTACTTACTGGTAAGCGAGGAGACTTCCTACCATTACCATTTTTCTGATTAGAGTCTCCTTGAAACTCGTCAAGTGCAAGACTTCCCATCGTCAGATCACCGTACTCCATCACGTGGCTTGTATTCGTCTCCTTTTTCACTACTTCAAATTGTTGTTGTAATGTCTCCATAGACATGTCTGCCTGTATGAAATGGCAATTTACAATGTTATAAAAACTGGGCATTCAAGGTACTTGGCAACAAAATCATTGGGGTGTGGTGAAGACAACACAAGTAATATTTAAGCACTTTCTAGAGATTTTTTGGGTAAATGAAAGAAATAAACTGCAACTAAGGCAAACCAGTAATCTAATATTATATCCAATATATTTACATTTAGACAATCGTTCACATGAATAGAAAAATGATATCGATTGTCGCCTCAACTCTCCTTACTCATATAACTTTACTGTATTTGCTCTATTAGTAGCATATGCAGTTAATAAATGATAAAGGGGTACATATGTTCACAATAAATTTTACAAATCCTTTTAATATCAGGTAAAAAAACAATGTGGATGGCTAACATCAATTATTGTGCATGTATATTTTTTTGGGGGGGGGGGATATACAATAAAATAAAACCTCTGTTTCTTTACAATGCAGTATTTGTTTGATGAAATACTGAAAAGCTGTAATATGCATACGTTATTTGTCCTATATGTGAAAATCAACTTGGACACTGCATCATACTCTAATGTTTTTATTAATATCACATTTTTTGACAGCATGCCTAAAAATATGCACATATTTATTCACATATTTATTGTGTACGAAAATAATAATAATAATAATTTATTAACCATTATGCTAGAAGATACATAACTATTCAAATCAAGATGAAATTCACATTAAATCATGAAGAAATGCACATTAAATTAAAGTATATAACTATACAGACGAGCTGTAATGGTTGGACAGCAGAAAATAGCTTAGTGAAGCTAGTCATTTTGGCTGGCGTTTTGTTAAAAAATAAA